CTGCAAGGAGGCCATTGGGAACATTGAGGCCAGGCTCTTCATAGTGGGGGGGAGAGGAGATACAAAGGCTGTAACTTGTAATAAGAAGTAGATACAAACCCAGTAGATTTAATCATAAAAGCAAACAGAACCCCCCCCAAAACAAGAAAAATAACCCTCCAGCTTTCACTGTGAGAACAACCTTGCAGTGGAACAGACTGTCTGGGGAGGTTGTGAATCTTTGTAGGCATTAAAAGTACAGCTGGATTGAAGCCCTGAGGAACCTAATGTGAGTCATTGCTGTTCCTGGCCAGAGGCCCAGAGACCTCCTGAGATTTCTTCTAACCTGAATTATTCTGTTCATTCTTTGGTTCTACAGATGACTGACCATTCTCAAAGCCTTTGTTTTAGAAAACACTGTTAGTCTGCAAATAAACTGACTTTGTTTATGCCATATACATGTGGATTATTTCCAGAACGAGTTACCATAGCACTAAAAGGTACCAAATATTTGCCATTTCACAGCTATTGTGACCTTGGTTCTTAAAAGATAAGGTGATAACCACAAGGAAAATCTAAGCCTGTCATGGTGTCAAGATTTGAAGTACCTTTAAAGGGCATCAGACTCTTAATTACCAAATATAATCCTTTGGAGTCTGAGGACCAAGCAGTTGAAGATTTTGAAGATGCCTTCATGCAATTAAAGCAAACCTACTCAGCAGTGTTCAAAATGACAAAAGAACTCAAAGGTTTTGTTGTTTTTTTTGTTTTTTTTTTTCTTTCCTGTGCTTCCTGAGGTAGTTGCTGGGGCCAGGTTGGATGGGGGTTTGAGCACTCAGTCTAGTGGAAGGAGGGTTGGTACTAGATGATCTTTAAGGGCCCTTTCAGCCCAAACTATGAATATGAATATGGTGCTATGAGAGGGTTTTTTGCGCTTTTTGGGACATACTGTTTTAGAAACCTGCCATTGCTGTGGAACACACTGAATACTGAATTGCCAGGAAAGTGGAAGCTTTTTACTATTAAGAGGTATGAAGAAATAGAATTCCATAGGACTGGTAAAGCTTGGTTTGCACAAATAGATAAACTATAGCCTTGAAGCTTTTCTCCTCTGTTTAGGCAAGTGTAGGAATTTAGTCCTTTGGTACATTAGTAATCATAAGTGAGAGAATTGCAAAATCCTTCTATTGAGGTAGAGGGAGTAACTGCTCTATTTCTACTTCTGAAAAGAATTTTGTACAAGGTAAGTAGTTAATGCTTTTTATAAAAGTTAGCATTTATTGCAAGTGATAATGTGAGGATAATCTCAGTTCTGAGGGCATTTGAATGAATGGTACTTCTATGATACAGCTTTATCTTGCTCGTAACTCCTTAGCATCACATGAGCAAAAAATGTGTTGGCAGCTTATTACGGAATATAGATAAACTCGTAACTTTTAGATGAAGTCCAGTGTTTTATATATTGTAAGTATAAATAATTGTACAGGTCAAAGATTAACATAGCTCTGAAAATATTTTTACTGTAGGGAAATAGAAATCATAAGGAAACCTCTTAAACTCAATTCTGTTTCTGCATACCTGAATATACTTTAGTCAGATCTGGTTTAACAGTTGGTTATCTTTTGAGGGTTTTGGGTGGTGATGTGTGTTTGAGTTTTTTGGTTGGTTGGTTTTTTGTTTTGTTTTGGATTTCTCTCTTTCTCCCAGTTTTCTACATGCTGTGAGGTCTACATATGGCATGGAAGAAGGGATATGATAGAAATTAACTGAGACCTGGAATGCTTTCAGAAAGCATTCAGAAGTTAAAGAGAAACCCCTAAAAGCAAGTTTTTATTTGTTGCTGTCTAGGTAAGAGACATGTCCTGACTTCTTTTTTAGTTCTAGTCCCATAGATAGTCCTAAAAATTTGACTGAAGAAAATACAAGCTAGCTAACAGTTGTTTCCCAATAATTGTGATAAATGAGAGAACATTTGAGTATTTTTTTATTTGTAACCTCAAATTGTACTTTATTTACAGACTCTTTTTCTGCAGCTACCAAATACAAGAATATATTACAGCTGTATCAAATGTTGGAGCCAACCTTAACAAAAGTGAATGAGGCTTAAAAGCAGTGCTCCCTAGAAGTCTTTTGCATCTTGTATATGAAAGTGTAGCTTTCCTTAATGTCAGAATAGATCAGTCTTACTGTTTTGGTTACTCTTGTTCCAATAATACTGGAACAGCAGGTTAAGAACTGCTTATTTGGAAAGCCTGTGCAGATTGCGACTATTCAGTCCTTCATAAATTATAGAAATTAAAATATTTTGAGAAATGTTAATGTTTCAAATACTGTTTAAGAAAAACCAATATTCTGAACTAACTGTATGTGAAAATGACCTTTATATGGAAATCTGATGACTAACAAGCTAAATAAAACTCCTTGTTATTCTTGAGTTCTAGCATAAAGAACCAAATGTAGATGTACTTTCTTATGCTTGCCTCAAAGCTGTGCCCCCTGTCAACTATTTTCCTTTGAATGACAAATGGGGATGCAGAAAACTAAGGGAGCTATTTACATGGTAGCAAGTAGGAGCTCAGGATAAAAAGTTAGGACCCTTGCTCTTTTAGCATCTTTTTCATTCTTAAGATTTTCTTTGAAATATGTTGTTCCTTGAGGCAATTACAGCTTCTGCTGTAAAGCTGCTTGTTAAGAAGCTCTGCTTCTTGATGAGGTAACATCTATTTTTAGAAGGTATGGAAGTGGTTCCAAAAAGCAAATTTGTTCCTAATACCTGGGTGTATCCTTTATCAGAATTTTATTTATTCTTTTGGGTTACTTGGCCAGTTTCATGTGAGTTTGAGATTTCACCAGTAGCTCTTCCATATTTTAGAGCAATTTGGTTTGATTTTCAAACCCTAGACAATGGCAAGATGGCCAGATCTAAGCTGCATGGTAACTGAAGAATTCTAGGACCATCTCTTCTACTACACAGTTTATGGGCATCTCCTGGTTTTGATATGGGAACGTTTCAGGTTTGACAAAAGAATGAAATGGATATTTTACTTAAAGTAACAGAAGGACAACATGAAGATAAAAGGAACACACCCCTTACTGGTGTGTGAATGGGTATGTGAATTGGAGATGGGAACTTGGCAGAAAAACCTGTATACTTCTGGGGAGTTCCTCTCTCAGCCAGTAGCAGGGGATGATTAGGCTGTTGATGCTCTTGTTTGTCACTTCTCTGGCCAGTCAGATTGGTGGCAAGGGACTGAAAGCTTCAAGCAGAATGGGTTTTGGCTTTTTCATCAAGAGAGTTGCTAATTTCTTTTATAATATAGGAAAAACAGGTTGAAAATGTACTCTAAAGGGAAGCACTTATGTTCTTACCAATCCCTGATCAGATGATATGTAGCACCTTGAACTACCCATGTAAACAAACTTGACCACAGTATGCACTCTGCTTGAAATAATCCTGATGAGTCAGAAGTGATAGATCAATATGCCTTACAATCCATTTAAAAGTACCAGGAAGGAACACAATTTTTTTCTGCAAGCTGTAGCTATAATTGTTTTGCTTAATAAGTTAATGAGTTTTTATCAAAACATGAGTGCCACCCTGCTTTTTAGGTTCTTAGGTTATTGTTCATCTGTACTTCAGATGCTTTTTGGTCTTTAGGGCTTATGTGGATGTCATTAAACATCTGAAACTAAAATCTTCTTTTTACTTATGTCGCTAATGGTGTTAGGTATTTCTTGGGAAGAGATGGAAATAACTAAGGTTACTACTTATTGTGATGTTCTCGGTAAATGCATAATTCTAATAATGTTTCAACTGCACAGGATATAAAACTTACCAAGTGCTGCTGATCTCTGCTAAATGTAATGTTGAGAAGTAGGGTATTGACTTACTGGTGAATGCTAGGTGGGCACATTACAAAATGTAAGCAATTAAGTTGATTTTTTTTTTAATATACTGTTGCCTAAGTGTTCTGTCATGTGCTTAACTTTAGTAGACAGAGGGAATAGAAGAGTGTGTTAAGAAAAGGACTTGAGAAAGCTAACATGTTGTTCTACTACAATTTTAAATAAGGCTGTTTCTTTTGCAGATGCTCTAAAAAAGTATTTTTAGTTGTAAGAAACATCAGAGAGGTCATTGCCTGGCTGCTGGGTTAAATATTCTCTTTTCTTAGACATGCAGGGCTCACAGCATGATTGCTAAGAGGGGGGAAAAAAGCATCCAAAATCACCACTTGTTTTCTTGGATGTTTGTTTGGGTGTGTTGTGTGTATAGTTTTCACAGGCTTGTTGATCAGGAATTTTGAAAAGGTCAACTAATGACAGTGGATTTCAGAAACACTGCAGAGGAGTAAATTTAGAAATGCTTCTTGGCTATTTTAGTATTATTTGTATGAATCTCACATATTTGGGATCTGAACTTCTACCCCTTTTCTCTAGCAGCGGTAAGAGCAGCATCTAGGAAATCAGTGGTATTTGCATGCTGACCATGTTAAATGTCTTCTCTATTGGGAGGGATGACGTGGGAGGGACCAAAGCACCATCACTTGACTTTCCAGGATGTTCTGGTCGTAGATTGTCCTTGCTATCAAGAGATCAGTTACTGGGCAGGTTTTTCCTAAACTAGTCGCTTTTTCTTAAGCCAAGTCCTATGGTGTATGGTTAGGGAGACTGACAGCTCTAGCTGTCATCATGATGACTTAATTGTACTTGGATTAGCCTTAATTCTGACAACTGATAAAACAAGTGCTGTCATGGTCATTCAAGTCTCTGGATCTTGTCCTTTAAAAAAAAAGAAGCCTAACTGGTTCTAGTTCTTAAACTGATAGGAGATTTATCAGATTATTTGGTAGGAATGGGCTTGAATTATTTCACAGTGACTATCTACCTTTACTTTACCTTTTGACTGTATATGTAAGTAGACTTGGATGGAACTTAAATACTTAAAAATGCTTTTCCTAAGGATAATATTTTGTTCACTGTCACATTACTACTTCTGAAGGTTCATCTGTTTTGGTTTTCAGATGATTCAGCTCTAGAGGAGAGATTTGTCTTCACGATTTCCTTTGAAAGCACAATGGACATATTTTAGAGTTTTACAGAAATCAGAAATCATCTAGGAACAAGAACATTGGACTTTAAGGAATAACAGAGTTCAGAGAGCCTGGAAATTGGTCACTGAAAAACCTGACTTCGCCACACAACTTGGAAATGAATACCATTGAGACAGCAAAGCTTGAAGAGCATATGGAGGGGCAAACGAATGAAACTTCTAATGGCTACTCACGACCTACTCTCTCAGTCAGTGAAGAGAACAAAAATGGCACTAACAAACCAAAGGGCTTGTCTAATGGCTTGCGGAAAACAGCAAAGAAATATCCTGATTACATCCAGATTTCTATGCCTGCTGAGGCTAGGAACAAATTTCCTCTGGAGTGGTGGAAAACAGGCATTGCCTTTGTCTACGCTCTCTTCAACTTGATTCTAACAACTGTCATGATCACTGTGGTCCATGAGAGAGTACCTCCAAAGGAGCTAAGCCCTCCCTTGCCTGACAAATTTTTTGATTACATTGATCGTGTGAAATGGGCTTTTTCTGTATCAGAAATAAACGGAATGATACTGCTTGGATTATGGATATGCCAGTGGTTGTTTCTTAGATACAAGTAAGTTAGCTATATTTTTTTCCCCTGCTTTATGTTTTCAGAATGTTGGTTTTTGTTGTTTGTTTTGGGTAGAAAGAATCTTATGTTAAAATCCTTAACAATATAGAAGAGGCCTGACAGGAAAGTGACAAAGGGGCGACTTGTTTCAAAAAGGTTCCAGTCTCCATGCTGGATATCAAAACACAGGTGTCCTGATTACTGAATAATGTTTAGTTCTGAATTTCTGACACCCATGTCATACTAGTCAAACTTATTTGAGATTGGGCTTTTCAAAGTTTACTGACATGGGGATGTTTAAGCAGAGGAAATTATGATGACGTAAAAAAATCTCATCCAAATATGAGGAAGAACCCACTGTCCTCTACAGCTAGACTAGAAGCTTCTTCCTGTGTCTGCATTTCCTTAAACTATACATATGTAAGTCAAGAATATGGTTATAATATGGGACTATGAAGAGAATATCACTGAGTTGAGGCAAACTGATCCTGACTGCACATGTAAGTTAGAGTGTGGCCACATTAAATAGGTGGAAGCTCTGTGCTATTAAGAGCTAGCAGGACTAAAACCTGAAGAAAGACTTTTTAGTATTTGATTTAGAGAAATGTGTGGTGAAGAGCTGGGGATGAAGCTGCTATTTCATTCTAGGGATTTAGCTATCTAATAAAGCTAGAGCTACATAACTGTTATATGTGTATTCTGCATGTAAACTTGGTATTCAATCTTTTCCCCCCCTTCCTTTACTTTCAGATCAATAGTGGGACGCAGGTTCTTTTTTATAATAGGAACTTTGTATCTGTACCGCTGTATTACTATGTATGTTACCACCTTACCTGTGCCTGGGATGCATTTTCAGTGTGCACCAAAGGTAAGAGCCTTTGCTCCCTAATTCTTACCTGAGTCTCTGCCTGAGTCCTCATGGCTCCTTTGAGCAAATGGAAAGTAATGTTTCAGGTGTTATTAAATAACACAAATTACTTTCAGCTGATGTCTTCAGAAACATAGGTAATGATAAATCAAAAGTTTCTGATACAGAAAGAGCCTCAAGTTGTTGCAGTTAAGATGCTTTAATGAGAGTACCTATGTTGAAATAGCACTGCTAGTCTGAGGCTCAAGCTAATGACTCTTAATAATACAGCAATATTCTTTTCTTATGTAGTAGGATACCTAAGGTCAGTATTGTAATTTATAGGCTTATATGCAAGCTTCTGTTGCTGAATCGCTTTAAAAACTAGTTATATGCTTTGTTCTTGATTCTCACACTGTTTGGTCAAGAGCTATTGCAATACCTGAAATCAATTGCTTGTCTCTGCTTCCAACCTGCAAATGTATAGAAATGTGACTAAAACAAGTTCAGCTGCTTAAATAGACTGACACATATAGAAACGTGGATGTGCTAATATTTTTACAAAAAGATTTAAAAAACCTCTATGGCACTGTAGTTAAGTGGTGACACAAAGGAGTTATTATTGGCGTTTTAGGCTACTAATAAAAAGATGTAGACTTATGATTGCCTTGGAACAAACTGTTATATTGGCTGTGATGAAAGAAGAGTTTACTGGGGGGATGAATTTGTCACCTCTTGAGTAGGATCTCATCAGTCTTGCGGTACAGCATCATATCTGTTCTCTTTCACATTGAAACAACTTTAGGCACATGAATCAGTATCTGTTTGAAAACTTCTACATACCACTATTGTAAAGACATAATTGTTTTGTTCTAATAGCTTGGGGAATGACTTTGTGTAGTAGACTGTATTGAGGAGTGAGAAGAGGTAAGCAAAGGAAGACTTTAAATGTCTCTTCTGAAAGTGCATTTTGCTAGCATTAAACAAGGATTAATTACTTGAACTCTGAAAAAAACTTGGTAGCTTTTCTGGATTTCTTGGTTTTTTGTTTTGTTTTTATTTTTTTTGCTTTTTGTTTGTTTTGTGTGAATACTTTTATGGTTATGGAAAACTCAGTTATCCTTTTTCTTCTAGAGTAAATTTTTAAGCAGCTAGGTGAAACTAAGTTTGCCTAGTATGTGTGGAAAATCAAAAACTGATCCTAATGCATGTTTAAAAAACATACATCCTCTAAATATTAGTAAGTCCTCACTGAGTTTATAACCAAATTTAAAATTTACCAAGTTTGAGGTTTTTGCTCTGTGGAAACCTTGTTCAGCTTTGAACAGAATGTCAGAAGTAGCATGCAAGGTTGTAGTGGTTTCGAATTGATTTTATCCATTCTGTGGACTGTTGCCATGGCGTCTGACTTTAGAAATTCTTAGTGTTTACCTTTTCAATATATTCTGCATCTCATTCTCATACAAGGCATATTTCAAAATAGCCTGAGAAAGCATAGACGGAATGCTAATGTTGTCAAACTAAGCTTTATCATCTGTCAGCTATGATATGCATGCTTATTTGTTTAAGAATATGTGAGAGAAAGATAAAGAAAATGAAGATAATTATATCCTTTTCACATGTGTTTGGGCAAGAAGTTTACTCGGGTTGTGGTATATCTTAACCTTTACTTTGTGCTTTTGTTTCTGGTGTTGTAGTTGAATGGAGATTCTCAGGCAAAGGTTCAGAGAATCCTGCGACTGATTTCTGGTGGTGGTCTATCCATAACTGGATCACACATCCTGTGTGGAGACTTCCTGTTTAGTGGACACACTGTGGTATTAACGCTGGTCTACCTGTTCATCAAAGAGTGTAAGTGTGTTTCAATGCTTTTGTTCTTCTGGGAAAACATGTGATAACATGAATGTAAAACTACTGCCCTCCAGAAGTAACCTGTCAGTTGTACATAGACTGTATGTGTATGGGTTTGAAATACAAATTGTGATTCTGACTGGAAATGGAACATGGGTGTAGTAAAATCATGGGTTAAGGTTGGAAGGGACTACTGGAGGTCCTCTAGCCCAACCTCCTTGCTCAAGCAGGGTCATCTAGACTACATTGCAGAGGATTGCATCCAGACAGTTCTTGAGTATCTTGAATATGGAGAGAGACTCCACAACCTCTCTGGGCAGCCTGTTCTACTGCGCAGTCACCTGTGTACTGGTGAAGTACAGAAGTTCTTCCCTGCATTCAGGGGGAACTTCCTGTGCATCAGTTCCTGCCTGTTGCCTCTTGTCCTAATGTTTAGCCCCATCCTCTTGACACCCTCCCTTCAGATACTTGCAGACATTCATCAGACCCCCTCTCAAACTTCTCTTCTTCAGTCTAAACAGGCCCATCTCCCCCAGTTTTCCCTCCTAAGAGAGGTGCTCCAATATCCCAGTCATCCTCCTAGCCCTCCACTGGACTTGCTCCACATCTGTCTTGTACTGGGGAGCTCAGAACTCCAAATGCAGCCTCACTAGGGCGAGTAAAGGGGCAGGATCGCCTCCCTTGACCTGCTGGCAATGCTTTTCCTAATGCACCTCAGGATACCCCGTGCCCTTCTTGGCCACAAGGGAACACTGCTGGCTCATGGACAACTTGTCCACCTGGACTCCCAGGTACTTCTCTGCAGAGTTTTCCAGCAGGTTGGCCCCCAACCTATACTGGTGCACCACATTCTTCCTTCCCAGGTGCAGAACCCTGCACTGGTCTTTACTGAATTTCAAAAGGTTCTGCTCTGCCCATTCCCCAGTGTGTGAGATCCTGCTATGAAAGGCTGTGCAGCACTCTGGGGTATTGGCCACTCCTCCCAGCTTTGTTAGATCTATGTTAGACTTTAAGGAATTCTGTGGCTTGAACACAGCACTGTTGCACACTTATGCTACCTCTGGACGCAAAGTTACTTTTCTCACCTCTGCTGTACAGTAGTTACTGCAAACAGTGAAAAGTTGGTTTGTGCTCTTTGGATGTCTTCTGCTAGAATGTCCTGCGTAATGCTTCTTGTAGTTAATAAGTATTTGGCAAGCTCACAGAAGATAGTTATGGTTTCTCTATTGGTGCAGCCAATTGAAGTGTTGGAGAACTGAGCACCAACTTCCAAATCTGATATGTGGTAAGCAGTGCTTCCGTCCCGAGAACTTGGCTGTTCCTGAGTGTGTAGTGGGGAGTTCCCTTTTCAGTTCACATATTTGGAATTGGATTCTTCTCTCCTACTGTTGTATTCCAAACTATGCAAATGCTATCTTGGCTCATGGGAATATAGTTCTCACCAAAACAAAAATAAGACTAGCCAGCGTTAGTTGGATGCCTTCCTTTTATTAAAATGTTGAGGGAATGAGGTGTTGTAGTGCTACATTCTACCTTAACCAAAAACCTCAATATAAAAAAGCCTGTTTAATATGATAAACTCTGAATCTACAGATGTGAGACATTCTTCTTCGAACAGTGATTTAAGATGCTGATTACAGTCCGATTTTTAGGCCTAGGTCTTTCTTGTAAAGTGAACATTACTGGGGGAATGACATATGTCAAAATTACCAGATCAGTATTAGGAAAATAACCTAATAATAGATCTATTGTTTGCCTTGTTTTGTGTATGTTATATTGCATCTTAATGCTGTTTGCATACTTATTTTTAGTACCAGGAAAGATGCAGACAACCCAGTAGTTCCTGGACTAGTTTTATTCCTGTGCTTATAAAGGGTTGGAGAAATTGTATCATAAAAATTCTTATAATAAGCCCTTTGACTGCTGCCTAATTGTTAGGCATATATTTCAGGAGAGTTAGGCTCTATAAATGAGAAATGCATAATTTCCTTTTTCTGCCTCCTTTGCAATTAGCAAAATGCTATCTGAACAAGGGCATAAGGCCTCTAATTGTTCTGAATTAGAGGCTGCTTATGGTATTCTTCTCTGCTCTTTTGATAACATATCTTTGGTGTAAGATGCATTTTGAGGATTTTATTATTTCTCGCTTAGTGGAGTTTTTGCTCCGTTCTTCCTTTCATATGCTGCCACTTTTTCCACTTATTCCTCTGCAGTCCACCTTTTATACCAGAATAGCTATATTTTTAGCTTTGATATGTCTGTCTTGCTTTGTGGTACTTCCATCAACTTCTTGAGATTACTTGGCTTCTTATCTTTCTTTTTTTAAATTATTACTATGATCTTGCACAGGCCCCTCAAACTACTACCGGGTAAGCTTGTTGAGATCAGTAACTTTTCTGCTGGTATTGTGTGAAAGTCAAGGCTGACCACTGCCCCACAAGGCAAGGGGTGCCAAAACCTCCCACTGTGAGTGAAATGAAGCCAGTTAGTCTGTCAGAAGTTATGAATGGTCATTGGGACACCCGAGGCATTTTTCAATGGGGAAAGAAGAGCAGGGGAACTTTTCTGCTGAAGCGGCTTAAATGTGTTTTGAAGAACAGCTTCACTCCCATTTGTTAAATCTTTCATTAAAGGGTATAAATTCACATACTGTCCTTTCCTGTACAGAGTATTCTGTTTCACAGAACTGAGGCTTCATGCAAAGTATTTAAAACCTAAGAATTTAAATAAGAGTGTCTTTTCCTGTTTAATCTATGATCTCTGCTCAGGTTGTATCAATTCTAGGCACTTGAGTTTACTTGAGCATAGACTGTAAGAAAAGCAAAGATTCAAGTAAAATAACAAAGTGTATGTTTTGCCTCAATTCTGTCTATTCCTCTGCACCCCATATCCTAGAAGTGACTTATCTGGAAAACTTAATTTGACTAGAAGATGGGTGGTGTATAACTGCAGGCTCATCTTGGGATCCTTTTACGAAGTAAGAACACACCTCAGTAAACTTGTATAATCCTTTAATCTTGTTTTCTCTGTCAAAACCCCTGTCAAAGCAGGGGTTTTGTACCAGTGTGATAGGAGTTAAGTTTTCACATTTAGTAACCTTAAATCATTTTTATCTTTTCCCCTTCTTTTTGTGGATTGCTATAATAATGAATGTCTTTTTTGGTGTGTTTTCTCCCGTCGCCTCCCTGTTTCACAGATTCACCACGTCATTTCTGGTGGTATCACTTGATCTGCTGGCTAATGAGTGCTGCTGGTATCATTTGTATCCTTGTTGCTCATGAACACTATACTGTAGACGTCATCATTGCTTATTATATCACCACACGGCTCTTTTGGTGGTACCACTCAATGGCTAATGAAAAGGTGAGTGGCAAATACCTTTAGAATCAATGTATTGCCTAAAGGTCTAAGTTAGTTTTTGATTTCTAAATAAAAATAGAGGTTCCATATTGAAGTTTAAACAGAATGGGTAACGAATTTCACTTTACTGTTTAAGTAAATATTAATAATTTGTCCTTAAAACATTTTTTTGAACTTTGAGGTTTTTTTTCTGTAGTTGGTGTTCAGAATAGCCTTTGTTTGTCTCAGCTTATGAATAATCAGTAGTTTAGTAATAAAACTTGTGGCCAACTGAAATTACCTAGACCATCCTAAAATTCTAGTGACAGTTCTTCCGTAGATGTCAATAAAAGCATATTTTTCAGAAGGTATCTGCTGCAGTTGTTTAAACAACACTTTCAAGTAGAAGCATAGCTCTCAAGCCAATTTAATTCAATTTTCAACTATTAGTCATCAATGGAAACATGACATGCCTGGAAGCACTCATATTCAAAAAGACTTGGGTGCTTTGTATCCCCAAATTTTGTACAGCAGCAAAGCATCCCTTTGTGTTAAAGATGCTCACTTTGTCATATGCATTTGGACGATGATCTATGCATTTGGACGATGATCTATGCATTATCTCAGTTCTGTGTTTTCCAGGCTAAATGCTCATTGTCTTTGCGGAAATGCGTTTCTGTTGTTGTCTTGACTCAATATAATTGATCATAATGCTCTAAACTGACTGTCTGTTTCCTTTTCCTCTTTATCTACTTGTGCCAATACAGACTTTAAAGGTTTCTTCGCAGACGAATTTTCTCTCTCGAGCATGGTGGTATCCGATATTTTATTTCTTCGAGAAGAATGTGCAAGGCTCTGTTCCTTGCAGCTTTTCCTGGCCAATATCTTGGCCTCCCAGCTGCTTCAAATCTTCATGCAAAAAGTATTCACGGGTTCAGAAGACAGGAGAGGACAATGAAAAATCTACCTGAAGAAACGAAGGAAAGCTTTTGCTCTGTAGTTTTTTTCTGTTCTCTTTTGTTTTGTTTTTTACCAAAACATTAATGCTGTAACCAAAGTTCTTAAGAGGACTCTACTGTAACTGAAGAAGTGGACCAAGCTTCTGTGCAATTGATTGAAGAGACAATTATAGACACATATATATTGCCATTTCAGATGTTTTCTTATCATCAGGCTGTACAGACCTATTCTACTCCTCAGTGCTAATGAAATGCACCACTGATGGGATTTTTTTTTATTAAAAAAAATGGAGCAGGACTTTGCTTTACTAACGAGATAGAGGTGCCAAAGACTACAGTAACACTTTCATTACTAACTATCACTCATCCACAGAAGCACCCAAAAGTCTCATCTTCAGAGTTCTGGAGTGCATAAGGGCAAAAACATGCTCAATTGTAAAGGCACGATATTGGCGTATCAAGGTATATAAAAAATAACACAGTAGTGGGAAGTGGTTTGTTGCATTATTCTTGCTAATGAAGGTAAGGCCTTTGCATGACTGGTACAGCTGGAAGCGAGTCTGACTTTTTTTACACACTGGGGGTATGAATATCTTATGACCCTAAAATATTGCTTACCACTATTAACTCCCGTGTATTCTACTATATACCAATTTTTACATTTTTATTAGTAATTTTATATTTAAACTGTTGTGCTACCTGATGACTTTGCTAATTAGAAATAGCTGCTAACATCAGAGGTCAAGGAGCCTAAAATTTTATTTTTAATAAGGGACACAGTTTCAAAAATCTTTAATTACAGTTGGCCTTGTGTATAGCTATACAGTGCCTATCAGTGTATGTACATGCATATACACACAAAAGCACACACTAAACGAAGTTATTTACTGGGAAGAGTGATCATAGAGTTCTTCATGCAGGTGAAAGTCCCACAGCTCTCACCTGCTTGAGGAATGGAAGGCCAGGTCCAAAATGAGGCTACACTTAAAATTTAATTTTTAATTTTAGTAGCTATTTCTTGCTGAAGCTGTGTAGCAAGTTTGCTTGGGAGCCATAGTTCTGCATTGAATTTTTTTTTTTCTTTGCCTGTTGGCACATGTTTCTGTGACTTTACTCTGAAAGGAAAACCCTCCAAACAAAAACATGCCAAGGTAAATACCTGCAACAGCAGCATTTCTTCAAGTATAACCAAAAACCCTTTCATATTAAATTACACTGCTGTAGAACTCACATGTAGGTTCCTTTTTTCCCCAGGGTTTCAGTCCAGTTAAAATGTCTAGTTTAAACAAGTTGTCTGAGAAAGTGGGAAATTAGCATCGGGTAAACACGTAACAAAACCACAAATTAACTGCTACCAGGTTCTCGTTGGTTTATGTTTTGTATTGTTGGGAAAGCAAAGTAGAAAATTAGCATACCATGTTTAACCATTTTTATTCTGGATTAATTTCTGCAGTTAATTCAATATTGTTTTCCAATTTTCAGTGAAACCTGATGCAAAAATAAAACTGCACCAAGTGTTGAGGTGATACTAATATAAAGGAAATGCTGCTTAATATTAAGAATGTCTTGAATTGACTGACAAGTGTGAACACAATTTAAATTATGACAACTTCCTTTTAAAAAGTTCAGTTAAAGTTATAAAATGAAATAGTATTAAAATATGATTTGTTTTTTTCAGCTAAGGGGATCATTGCTCTTGTTGTACATGAGTATTTTTGTGCATTATCAAAATAATACAATAAACAATGTTCCTTACATCCCTGGTAAAACTTAGCTAAGAAAGAAGTTCTGCTGATGTTTGGTTTTGTTATTTAAAATGAGCTTAGACTCTGATAACATGCCCCTGAAGTTGTGTGTGTATGGGCATAACTATGCTTCCATTTGCTTGCTCCTAGCAGACTGCGAACAGCTAAAAAGCCAGTATCAAACACTTATGAGTCTTTTTTCTCTGTCATATAAATGAGTCTGTTCAATGTCAGTCAGTAAATCTCCGAAGATAACTTGTTATATTAGTACTACTATATAGAGCATAATTTTTTAAAGATTAAATCTAAGCTTTGTGATATCCTAAATATGGTCATGTTAAGCCACCTGTAGTAATACTGTCTTTAGGATTTATGAACAGATTTCATTATTGGTAACCATACCTTGAAAATTAACATGATTAGAAGCCTTACAGGAAGAGCCTAAACAGTGGTTTTCATCTGGTGGCTGAAAAATAAATACTTAGGTAGTCTAGATAGCTAATTGCATAACCACCACCGTGTCTCAGTGGGATTTCTGTAATATATCTGCAAAGTAGAACTTCGTGCAAGATGAGGTGTTTTGGGGTTTTTATGATTATTCTTATTTCTGGAAGGAAAAAAATGTGAGTGCAATAGAACCAAGTGAAAACTCTGCTTTCGTGGGGCCACTTGGGCTTTCCTTATACTGCTGAATTTGATAGAAACTTCTATTGTAATACAAAAGGAAAGTTTAAGTGGCAGCTCTAGCTTAAAATACTTGATTCCTGTTCTGGCTCAGCCCTTCCATAAGTGCTTAATATTTCTCCGTTGTATCCAAGCCCTCAGAAGGGGGTGTGTGTGGGGAGGGGTAGTGTTTAATTAGCAGAAAGCACCAATTCTCTATTCTCTCAATAGCTTTTAATTGCTTTTGCAAACTTGGATGGTATAGTTGTATTTGAAGATTGTTTAGACCTATATATAGGGTGATGAAATGGGGTAAGTAATCATACATGCTGATTCTTACTGCTATAGTAGTTTATCTAATACAAACCACAATTGCTTCATGAAAATTACTAATTTTAAGATCTTACTGATTGTTGTATATTAATACCATGAAGCTGAAAATATAGTTTCATCCTAAGAGGAAAAAGGATTGCAGTAGGTAAAAAGGAGAAACTTGAACTTAAGCCTACAATCAAATTATTAGTACATTTTTTGGACTGTATATGCCCAATGTTTTGCAACCTGTCATTACTTATTTTTTCCTAGTTACAATATTTCTTATAGGTGTCATATGGGCTGCACCTGTACTGTGACTGTAACATGCTCCTTCTCTCTGCTGAAGAGCATTTACACGTTGAACTTTCCAGACATTTCAAGAAACCCAAACCCAAGAACTAAACTCTACACTTGTACACCTGGCATATCAGTATGACTTAGTTGCCTTGTGTTTATGAAACAAGCTTTGTGAAATGCCTCATCTAAATTTAAACCTGGATGTAACAGGTTAACTTTAAGGATTTAAAGAAATGTACTCCTAAGTGGTCATGCTATAGATGTTTAATTTTAATGCTAGAAATGATTAACATATACTTGAAACCACTGTAAAAGGACACTTTTTTTTCTGGTATGTGCTTAGCACTCCCATGTGGTCATAAGTGGTACTATGTATTAGCCGTCCTTCATTGCAGTTTTCTTGGAAAGATTGCTACAGGTGCGGTAGTAGCAAAAATAGCTGTGCTAAATGTTGCTATGAACTCAAGTACTGCATTTGCTTCCCTCCTTAAAGGGTGAGGGAGAAGGAAACTAAAAAAAAAAAAAAAAATCAAGACTGTATATGCTAAGATGCACTACCTTCATGTAATAGAGAAATAAGTTCAGTAACAGAGAAAGAACTGGGAAGTCTTCTAAGATATGAGAGAGCAATCTCTTAATTGGATTATTGCAAATCCACTTACCAGTGTCTTAAATCGGAATCTGTTCAAGGTATGGCTTTCTCCCATCATTAGTATCTGGCTAGACAGTTTATGGTAAGTTGTTTGGTACTGACCTGAATTCTCTTGCTCAGTTCAGTAGATGTGAAGTATGATTTACAGTTCTAGAGACAGGTCCATAAACTGCAGTGCAAACTGAAGCCTTTCCATTTACTTTAAATGAACTTTTCCTTAGCTCTTTGTTTTGTTTTGTTTTTTTTTTTAACTTATAAACCTTGAATCTTAAAGATTCATGAGGTAATTTTGAAAACATGTCCAATCTATCAGATGCACTGAAACCATTTTTCCTTACTAGTAGACTTAACTACTAGTGAAGTTAACTAACTCCATTGTCATCTTGATATTTTTACAATACCCATGTTTTGGACTTAGCCAGAACTCTTCTATGAACACACAAAATTAGAGTGATACTGTAAGGTTGAGCGCTTCTGAAACGTTCTATACAAACCACTGTAAAATCAACATCTTAAATTCAGTTACTGAGGAAAGGGATCTTAAAAATAAATACTTCTGTTGGGCTCCACTCAAATGAGTGTTGCTGCTTAAGTGCACATGCTTATAAGAAAGCCTTCATATGCTACTTTATTATGCTTCCCAGTGTCCAAGAAGAAGTGCTGTGAAACAGGACAAAGGCTTTTTTTCTAGTATTTACAAGAAAAAGAAAGACAGATGAAAACAAAGAAGTAGATGGTGATCATATATTGCTTTTTACATGAAATTGAGCTAAAACTACACCTAACTTCTAAGTAATGTAGAAATAAATTGTTTTTTGTGTAATAGTGCTGAAAAGAAAAGCCTTTAGGGAAACAGGCAATGTTAAGTACTTCATTCTGCAGTACAGCTGTGTATCTGTGCTGGTTCTCATCCATAACTTTGAGTGTAAAAATAAAACCCAACTCTGAGAGATGCTTGGAGATTTTAAAATACTTAAATATAATTAGCAATTTTTTGTGAGTTGTTCCTTCAAGCTCTCACTAATAGCTTCTAAAACAAGAACAAAGTGCTGCAATGCTTAAAACATACTGAAGCTTTTTCTAGTTGGCTTAAGTTTCCATGGATTTAACTGTATGATTAAGTCTTATTAACCTAGAAAGTAGCACACGAGAATGTCAGGCTAGGTACAGATAGCTTATGTACTGTAGGGAAACATTCTAGTTCTGAACTCATCTTACCAAACAAAACACTCAATGCCTGAATGATGTTTTAAGATGGAGTGACAATACTGGGCAGTCTCTAATGTGTATCTAAAATACTGGTGTTGAAGATTCCTTCTCTCCTAATGTAAATTGGTCATGAAAAACTCAGGAAGATTTGAATTGTTTTCAGTGAAAATGTTCTAATTACAAAGGATTTGGAGTTTAGCAAAGAGTTAGCAGTTTGTTTTCTGTGGCTCTTTGCTGTGCACTAACCTTTAAGATGCAAACTAGGTAGGAGAGAAGAGCAAAGCAGCTCTTGCTGGAAGGAGCAGTGTGTGACTTTTGAACTAAAATTATATTGACTGCATGCTACCTGCAGTCTTATCTGTACTATAGTTGAAAAAAGATGCTGTATTATACTATTATACTTAGTGTTCACACTTCTTCAAATTATTCTGAAGTGGTTGGCCCAGTCCTTCCCCTAGATGAGGAGTATTTTTGTCCTTTGCTTGCTGTATGGTTGAACATAACTGGTTTTAGTTCTGGTAAATGCCAATGAAAAAAAAATGTAGATCCATTGTATACAGTGCCTAAGATGTTTTTAAGGAGTCTATGCATGGGTTTCTTCTAGGAGAAATACTCTTCTTTAAAGCCAGGCCTGTATAATTATGTCAGCTCTTGCATTTGCCCTGAGCATAGCAAAGTTTTTAGGATGTTAGCATTTGTGACACTGCAAAGAATTACTACAGAAGAATCTCATTTGTGCCAATTGAGATGACTTTTCACAAAGTAACTTTGCTGAATATTTGACTTTTGGTTTTGGTTTCTTTGGGGAAGGGGTTTATTTGGTTTGGTTTTTTGGTTTTTTGTTCTTTTTTTTTAATTAAAAGAAGAAGCAGTCAAAAACTAGTCTGAAGTAAAAGCATCTTGAGCAGTTGGGTACCCAGGCACCGTGCAGGCACATGTGTGCAGAGAGGGGCCCCTGTGGCATGTGCAGTGTTGGATTCAGTACAGAGGCTTCTCTGGGAAGGTGAACTAGGTTGTACTTACGTAGTAGGCTGTGAGCCGTCTTTGCTTGTCATTTTGAGCTCCTTTAAGACTGAGAGCACAGCACCAAAGGTGGCAATAGCTAAAACGTGTAGTGAAGGTCACTTGCAAATCAGAAAAGTATGAAAGGGCTGAAAAGGCAGATCTCTGTAAAACCAGTCATTGGAGAGCTGTGTTCTAATTCAAGGGAGCATAAAATTTGGGGTTACTTCAAGCATGTGAGTTCCATTTAAAATGAATGGATCTGTTTGCTTTTTAAATTACTGGGGTTTTTTTCAGTAGAGATGATAGGAGCGCTGAGAATATCAAGAGGAAGTTATCTCCCTGCTTACTTTCACCTTTACCATTGAAGTGTTTGTGTATGAACAATATTACCAAACTCCAACCCCTCTTATATTTTGACCAACTTGTTATGAGTGCTTTATTTCTTTAAAAACTGAGTTTGCATTCCACTTTTTTCATAATTTGTTGCCACTCAAAATGCTGCTTACAAGCCTGTGCTGATCTGGGCTCCTGACTCACTATGTCTGCCTCTTCTAAATGGCTCAATACAGAAGAGTAGGATTTACATTTGAGAAGACTCCATAATTAACTCTAAAGCCAAAAGGCATTCTTGTCAGACACATCTTTGCACAATTTGAGACTTGAAAGTATTTTTAAATACAAAACCTAACATGCTAGGACATACTTTGGTTTTTTTCTCTCAGGAATCAGTTCTTGCTCTTTAAATGTTCAGTATGTTTGTTTGTGTTTGTTTTCCTGATTCAGGAGAGCATGTGTGAGATGTGAAAAAGATGAGTTCTGGCAGCTTCGTGAAGTCAGGGTCATACCAAGGAACCTGAAAGTAAAAGCAGAAATAATGGTTTGATGGCTGATGTTCTCGTGCTTTCCATGTGACTTTGAGAACTGTAAACACTTCTGTAAAAACACTGCAGGAGACTTTGCTTTTAACTGCAACATGTTTTCATACTCATTGGCTGACAGCTTTTCTTGCATGACTTCTCCTAGGCTGAATCTGTAGTTCTGTACATAGGTTGGAGCTATATATCCAACCTTGGAAAAATTAGGCAAGAAAAACTGTTGGCTGCTGAGGAACCCTACCTGGTAATGTAGGAATGCTGTAATGCGTGCACGATAAGGAGCTAATAAATGGCAGGGTTTTATGGCTTTAGGGTCCAGTTCTGCAAACACTGCACAGCATAATGCTACAACAACAAATGATAATACTTAAAGACCTTTTGTGCTGTAGTTTCCACTAATGTTTGCAAACTGGGCCTCATTTTTACATAAATTGTTCACAATTAGCAAGAGTTGACTTTTATCTTGTGAAACTTTCAGGATGACACTTTATAGCTGATGTCAGCTATTTTGGTTAGGTAACTGTGAGTGTTGTGGTTTGCTGTATGCGTGCAAGAGAGACTTAGAGCTAGAGTTGTGATTTGTAAGATATTGCAATCTGTTCACTATATTAAAAAAAAAGAAAAACAAACCCCAAAAAACCCTATTGCACTAGCTGTACTTTAAAAAAGCAATAACATGAGCATCTTTTAGCTTTTGTCTCCAAAGGTGCTATCTGTCATGATCATTTGCATTGTTGGCCATGAATTTGGTAAAAACATGTTAAAGAAGTTGTCTTATGTCATTCAGTTGGCACATACAAGTAGAAATTTTTTGTGGTCAGCCTGTGTACTGACAAATGCAATACTTTGGACTACTTACATGACCACCCATACCTTTAAAAATCAGAAACCTATATCCATTTATGGTGCTAATGATCTCAAATATTATTGGTATTCTCTTTGGTATTCTCTTCTTACCCATGAACACTAAGGAAAGCTGTTTTGACATCTTTTCAATAAAGCAAAATTTCTCTACATTTTGAGCCTGTTCCAGATGCTTTTAATATAAATGACCCTTTTCTATTTCTATTTTATATAAAATCTGCAAACAAAGTAAGTATTTTAATGCAGGAAAACATTAGAAGTGTATATGTTGGTCTAAACTACATGTCCAAGTCTAAGTTTTCATACATTCTTAAGATAGCTAGTCTTCTGAAACTCAGTCTGAAATACAAGAGTTGTGTTGGCAGGATTAAGGTGCAAGCTAGTAGTTTAAAGAAAATCGTCCTCTGGCTTCATCATCATTGTTGAAGCCTCAGAGACAGAGAGGATGTGAAATGCACAAAGCTGCAGCAGGAGAACACCAATTATGCAGGGTAGATCCACCTTTTGCTGAAACTTCAAAAAAACAAACTTGTGAAGGAACATGACCATGTAACCATATCTAAAGAACAGAATTGAAATTTGATGTAATTATCAAGGCTGTTCATTGTGGGACATTATAAAAACCCATGAAAGGATGTTAAACTAGATTATTTAGATTGTGGAACAGCAATGGAACTTTCTAGCTTTGTTTGAAAGCTTCACAAGCAACGTTCTCTTAAGACAAAAAACTCTTGTGCCTTCTGTTGCAGAAGTTATTGTTCTCTTCCCTCCCTGCCTTTGGTTATGAATTTTTTTGTATATAATGAAGGACGATGCACTTCCCAATCTTTTCAGGAGGCATTTTTGGGCAGCAGTACCTACACTTTCTACCCATGGAGAATACCAAGACTCTGTTTCTTTCTAAAGGCCCCTTCCATGTCAACTTGCAGTTGTAAAAGTGCCTGCCTGTGACACATACGGCAAGCCTACTGTAATCAGCTCTGAAATAAATATACTGTATTTGATATGGACACGTGAACCTGGCAGAGTGGATGCCATGTCCAGGTACACCCTGGTGAGTCAGCAGGGTGCAGCCTGGAACACTGCAGCACATTCCTCTGCTCTAAAGTAGTTGTGCTCTGAGGTTTTGGTCCCTAAACTGTTCTCTTTCATATACTGTAATAAGTTCTCTTGAATCACATACACCTTGCATGTCAAGGAATATGGGCTTGTAAAAGATCTATTTTATGGAACTTCTGTGTCAATGCAAAGAATATTCCATGGCTAAAGTAACTTAATTTAAAGAAACCCGTCATCTGAGATAAAATCAGGGTGAGCTGCTGGGGGTTTTCTTGAGTGAAGAGGGATAATCTAGTAGCAATAGTCTAGATTGTGTCTTGCTACTTGTCTCAGTGCCTGCTTTAATAGTAGGACACTTGGAAGAGCCAAAGATAGAACAAAGTCATCCGTAACAGTCCTAAGCCACGTTGAAATATAACTTTCCTATCTCTTAATTACTAGATACTTCAGAGAAAAAGGGCTTTTTTTTTTTTTTAATTTACCAAAAAAAAAGTGCAATATTTACAGAAATAGAAAGAGATAAATGGCTGCAGGTTTGAATGCCCTGCAAAAAACAAAGCCTTTGCGAGCATGTGACATGCACTTGACTGTGTTTTTTTTAGCCTTAGCATTTGCTCTGTTACAAAAACATGTTTCAGTGCACTAGTCTAACTCAGAGATTTCAAATATTTTCAATATTCTTTTGGCAAGGAGAGTGTTTTTTAATGAATAAAGTGCCTGTGGAAATAAAAATCCAAAAGTTGCCTGCAAATGTAAATAAAGCATATAAAACCACCGCCCATACTTGAAGAGAATGGGTGCTAACTCAGTAACTGTAGTAACTCAATAGCTGCTCAATAGTCATAAACATTGATAGGATTCAAAGTTCGAGAAAAGAATATTATGTTTCTTTTGAGAGTTTACTGTGTTAATTAAATTTCTACTGTTTCTGCTTGGGCCTTAACTCTGTAACTTAGTTATCTTTAAAGAGAAATAAGTTCCTTTGAACTATTCCATTTCAAATGCTTGTTTTAATGACAGTCTTTACTCTGATGGGGATTTTTGTTTGTTACATGGAGGGGTTTTTTACCTGTTAAAAGTAAAGTCACCAAATGCTTTGATTACTCAATTTGAGGTAAAAGAGTTTGAAGAATGGTTTTTCCTTAAATGCAGAATTCAAGGGAGGGTGGGTTTTTATTACACTGCTACTAGGACTGAGGAGGAATGATTTCCATGGGAAGCATTATAGTGCTAAAACTTGTATATGTAGTTATTTGGGGTAAGCAGAATATTAGTACATGCGTATTGTTTTGCTGTTAATTTTATGCTCTATAAAGAGGCTATTTAGTACTAATTTAAATTGAAAAGTGGATTTTAATGTTGCAATAGCTATTATTTTAACGTGAAACATCTATTTATGTACTGATATGCTAGAGCAAAATATACATTTGATCATTAACTTAATTTAAAAGTATGAAAGTAATCTTATTTTTATCAAAATTAATGTGGAATTTAATCTCTGGACAAGCTTGAATTGGTCATAGACCACTGAAACCAATCTTTCAATTGCATACAGAAGGAAGGCAGGCTTTTTTTTTTTTTTATCTAGTGTAACTTCTTGACTAGACTAAGAGGGAAGGGAGACTAGATTACTGTTCTATAAAGAAAATGGGCAAAACCAGTAGTGTGTTTCAGCTGTGCTGAATAGCTTAGCTTCTTATTTTCACACTGTAGAATTTAAAATTTTCTTGAGACTCAGATTTAAGATGTCTTTAGTTCAGCTAAATTTTCACCTGTTCTTTTTATATTTTTTCTAGTAGTTGCATTTTATTGGTGTACGTTGTAATTAACCACTGAATTTCTGCCAAATATATAAAAAAATGCATTCTGTTCTGCTAATTTAAATCTATGTTCTTAGTTTAATCCATGGCTAGTAAAATGTCCATTTGCTGTTTAGATTAAAGAGACGGTTGCCTTAATTGTTTGGAGGAAAGCTGACCTTGACCATTTGAAGCTTTATGTATTTCTAAAATTCCTGTAACTTCTGTAAAATTGCAATAAAACCTTTTTAATACAGTTCAGCCACTACTTTATGAGCCACTTGTCACTATCTTTTTGGAATGCTTAACTATTTAAAAAGAAGTTTTTTAACAACACTGTTTATAGTGGATAAGCACCTCTTATTCCCTGCGGTTTTTTATTTTTGGGGGGGGATCACTTTAAAGATGGTGTACTTGTGTCTTGCCCACAGTGCTCTTCTCTTTTGGTGAGGGGGTACCAAGAGCACTTCCTGAAATCACTGATGCTGCAGCAAATGGCTTGGAACACCATACAGCAGCATTTTCATTATCTGATTACCTCTGTAGGGATTACATTTCGTTGTTGATCAGCAGGAAAAAGTGCACCAAGGTGTATTCTACAGAGCGAGGGAAGTTACCCTGAAAACCAGTTGGTGGTAGGTTTGGGTTTTTTGGGGTGTTGAGGTGTTTGTGTGGGGTGTGTGTGGAGGGGTAGTGTCTGTGGGGGTTTTTTGTTGTTCGGTTTTTTGTTTGTTTTGTTGTTTTTTTTTTGTTTTATATATTTATTTGTGGGAAAGAACTAAAATTATTTTTTCTCTAAACTTAAAATTCAGGTGTGATGAGCCTCTCTGTGCTGTTCTGCGTTTGCCAAGCAGTTGCTTTAACCTAGAGCTGAGACATGTTTCTGGGTTAGTCCTCGGTTATGAAAACAGAACATTTTGGTCTACTACTTAGAACTTCCAGCTTTTCTATTGGGCAAGGGGGAAGAAGGATCATCTGTATTTCCACTAAAAATGGATGCTTGCAGAAGGAGCGTTTGAAAGCAAGTTCTATGAGGTTGCAGGGAGCACTCTTTTTTTTTGTTTTTCCGCCATTAGCTGAACATGTGTGCTTACGTTTAACGACACCTTTTAAACTTCGCCTCTGTCCAAGCACCGAGCCAGCTTTTGACCGCTGAAGGCGGCGGCGGTACCGGAGCCCGGCCCCGCTCCCCGCCCACAGGCCCGGTCGGGACGGGGTCAGGGCGTCGCGGGCCTCGCCTCCGCCGCCCCGCCATCTTAAACCGCTACTCGCCGGCAGCGGGGCCAGCGCGCCGGTCCCACCGCCCGGGGAGATGGCGGCGCCGGGCACGGCGGCTTGGACGTGGCTGCTGCTGCCGCCACGCCCACCGACTGCTGCTGGGCAGCCCTGGCTGCGCTCGGCTGCTACTGTCGCTGCGCGCGGCCCGGCCGGCGGCTGTCGGGGCTGCCGCCGGCCCCGCGCCCTGGCCGCTCGTGGGCAACTTCGCCTTCGCACCTCCTGCCGCCGCCGCCTGTGCGGCCAGCGTGGGCGTGGCATGTGCGGGACTGCGCCGCGTCTCCCCCCTTCTCTCCGGCATGTCTTCCTCACCAGCCTCACGAAATGACGCAGAGTCTATCCGCCTGTCGATGGGCAGCCGCCCGCTTCATCGTGCTCAACACCTTCGAGGCGGTGCGGGAGGCGCTGGTGCAGAAGGCGGAGGTGTTCAGCGACCGGCCCTCCGTGCCCATCGTCCTCATGATCACCCACAACAAGGGTAAGCGCCTGGGGGCGCCCCGGCGGGTGTCGCTCGGGGAGCTGCCGTACCCTGATGGATGGCCAGGGCGATGATACCGAGCGGGGCTCGTGGCTGCTGTGCCAAAATTTGTTAATAACTATTGTGAATTGCAGAGTGAACCATTTACTTGCTTTTTGCTCTTAGCGTGTGTCCTTCACCTTACTGCTGACCGAAAGCAGGCAGAGAGAAACTCGCTCTCCCTTGAGGTGGACACACAGCATCCCCGTGAACTGGGCAGTGCTGTGCTGTGCACCACAGCCCACCGCCGGATGACTGAAATGCCTGATCCCTTTAGCTCTACTCACAGTAAAGGAACCGAGGAGTGGCTGAGGGAGCTAGGGTTGTTTAGCCTGGAGAAGAGGAGGCTCGGAGGGACCTTATCGCTCTCCCAACTACCTGAAAGGAGGCTGTAACCAGGTGGGGGTTGGCCTCTTCTCCCAGGCAACCAGTGGTAGGACAAGAAGACATGGTCTCAAGCTGCACCAAGGGAGGTTTAGGTTGGACATTAGGAAGAAAGGGTGATTAAGCGTTGAAATTGACTGCCCAGGGAGGTGGTAGAGTCACTATCCCTAGCGGTGTTTAAGGAAAGACTGGATATGGCACTTAGTGCCATGGTCTAGTTGACATGGTGGTGTTCAATCATAAATTGGGCTCAATCTTAGTGGTCTTTTCCAGCCTAATTGATTCTGTGACTGGCATTTGTGCAGGGGTTTAAGGAACCACTGGTCTGTCATGTAAGGGCTTTCTGATTTTGACTGTGTCAGGAGAAGAAATTTCCAAACTTTGGCAGTGGTACAAAAATGAGTGCTTCCCCAGTTCTTACCAAGGTAGCGATGGCAAAGAGCAGGTTTCTGTGGAGTCCTGTAGCTGTGCAGTCTGTGCTGCCTGTGTGCAAGCTACTGTTGCTGAGATGTTTGCAGGTGTATTATTCTGCTTGTCAGAACTTATTGAGTATATTTGGGTTTGTGGTTTTTTTGTTTGTTTGTTTTTTTGGGTTTTTTTGTTTGTTTTGTTGTTGGTTTTTTGTTTTGTTTTTCAGTGGGTTTTTTTTACAGGTCAAAGGAGAGTTTACTAGCTTTTGCAAGAAGAGGGCATGGAGAGTGTAAATGCACATTGGCAATACTGCAGTTAGAATTTCTTCATGTTTAGTTTTTAGGTCATTATGGATGTCGGTGTTTGTGGAAAACTAATTTTCCATTTCCAGTTAGGAAGTGTAGCCCAGAAGGCTTGTTAGTGTGCTAGCTTGTTGTGAAACTTATCTTTTTTTATTTTTTATCAACTTGTCTCTAATTTGTTGTTGAGTTTTGTGTTTGTTTTTTGTTTGGTTTTTTTTGTTTTGTTTTGTTTTTAGTGAACCAGAATTACCCTTGTAAGGATAAGAGGAAAGCGAGAGACCTAGATCATGTTTATCAAAATGTGATCAGGTACCATTGCTGAACTTGGTTTAAAAAATAAAAAAATAAATTATAAATTATATTGATCTGAGATAGATATTGCTGGCACATTATCATGCGTGAGTATTTTTAGGTACAGTACTTTTAGCAAGAACTGGGGGAGGAAAGGGGAAGAGGAGTTACATAATTTTAGTGGTGCTGTAAAACTGCATGTTTAGGCTCATGGTGGATTTCTTTTTCCTTAAATACTGTGTATTTCGTGTTTCATGTTCTCTGACAGGCTTTTTGAACATGGTGAACCAAGGTTAGCAAGGGCAATTAGCTGCTTTCACTAGTGGATGTTCCAGGGAAGTTGACTGTGTAAGGAGCCTGTTGTCCAGAGCCAGAGCATGCTGCAGCCAAGTCCAGGACTGTGCCTGCCTGTGTTGTGCTGCAGCAGGGACATTACATTGCTTTATGTTCAGTTTTATCTGGAAGGTCACCGTAACTGCGCTCAGGCACGAGGACTGTTACATGAGGGCTGCCCAGTGGTCCATAAAACATCCTGATCTGGTGTGTAGCGCTTATGTTCACTAGTGCAACATGTTGAATTGCCACAGATGTGGGAGTGTTGTAGAATGAACCACAGGGGTGGTGTATTTTGAGTATACAAAGGGAAAAGTCAATGAATGTGGGCAGTGCGGGCTGGGCTGCTGGTTCTCCAAAAGCCAGTGTAAGTTACAGGTGCTCTCACTGGGCTGGCTTGGGTTTAGTGGTAGCATGAAGGAGATGACTGAACATCTGTGATGCTACATTTGTAATAACTACTCTTTTGTCTGTGGTTCATGGAGGAGGGTAATGGGTTACAACACTCAAACTGGAGAACTCTGAAAGTTGGTCTGAGAGCCTCCTGAACATAGGTTCAGGAGTTTGTGGTGAGACTTTACTGCAGGTCAGGACAGAGGCAGTTGTGTTAGTATGTACTAGGAAAGGAAATGATAAAAGCAGGATGATGGGTAACTTCAGATCTGCTGGTCACAACTTGGGTACTACAGCACTGGGACTCTTTGAGTCAGTAAGTGTTCATTTGGGGTTTCTATATCTTCGTTCTATAAGCAAGCTACAGGGTATGAACTTACAGGGCTATTTTCTTGTAAGCTACATTTTCTGTCGTAGTTTTGTCTTTACCCTGAGCTGACCTGCTGGGTATGGTATGGAAGAAAGCAGGGCTTAGCTTTGTGGCTTGATTGTGTGTAACATGCAAATGGAATATTGTGCCGGGGGGAGAGCAAGTAGAAGTATCAGAAATGGCAAATACTGTATTTCAACAACTTGATTAGTAAAGAAGGGAGACCTCCTTGGCTGGATGGGAAGTTCCATGAGAACTTCAGGGAGAAGGTAGAAGTTAAGTCTTAATTGAAGGCTTCTGCACGTACATCTGTGGGAAGAGAAATACTAGACTGGGGGAAAATGTAGGTTTTGATGGTTTTGTTTTAGTAAAGCGTTTTTGTATTTTATATCTATGAGAATGGTAGCAGTGACTCAATCTCTAGAGTGGATGGAGTCTGAGTGGTTGTCTGCCATTTTAACCCTGCCCTGTGCACATCCAGATGTGGACATCTGACAACACAGAAGTTAAGTGTTAGTTAAGGTCATGAATTCTGTGTTGGTCAATGCTGTCAGTATTGCAGTAACGCTAAAGCTAGCAGAAAGAAATGGGGAGGAGGGAGGATAAATTAGCTGTTGCCAGAACTTGCTTCTTGTAAGGATTTAAATTTTTTTCATGTAAAAAAGAAGAAGAAAATGAACTCTGGTTCTATGAGTTTGTTGGTTGTATTGAAAGGTTTTCATTATCAGTTTGTTGAATTAGCCTTCTGCGATGAGCATGAAGTCCTGGTTATTCTTGTTGCTTCATTATTGTATTTTCTTCAGGTTTTTGTTTATTTGTTTTATTTTGCTTTAGTTTGTTTGTGGGAGTTTTTGGTTTTTTGGTTAGGGTTGTTTTGTTTTTTTTAAAGAGTAGAGTTGTCTATGCTGGGTACCTTGACTTTTCAGGGGAGGCAGAGATTTTCTTTGAAAACAGCAAAGGACTATTCTGTTAGTGTAGCTTAGTAG